ACGAGAGCGATAGAGCGAAAATATATTTGAAAAAAAAACTCTCCAGACCTTGAAATAGATCTGGTTTCTTAAGTGCACACTCTAATTGCTGTGTTTCTCTATTTCTGACTCTTTGATATGGTATTTTAATGTCACGTATAGATGTATGATATTTTATCACAAGGAGATGCTCACCTGATTTACTTTTATTCATCTTGTGTAACCTCCTAGAGAATGAAGATCAAAGCTGATGTAAAGCTTGGAGAGGTTGCGCTGCTGTACCTGTCAAACCGTAGGTCCGATTGGGAAGAGAGAGAGTGTGTGTGTGTGTGTGTGTGTGTGTCTGTGCGCGCGCGCGCTTAAAACCGGGCACGGTGACGCGCCTGTGAGCGGCATTTTAAGTAGGAGTAAGGGAGGGAGAGAGAAGGAGAGAGAGATGGGGGAGAGAGGGAAGGAGGAGGAGATGGGGTTATTATTCAAGAGTGTGCAGCAGTCAGACGGGCTGCAGGAGAGGGGGGAATGGAGGAGGTGGGAAATCAGTCAATCAGAGGCTCATGCTTCACATTTCTGTTTCTGTGCGTTTTTGCAGGAAAGGAGGGATGAAACGGTAGAGAGGGAAGAAGATGCGCCTCAAGGTACTTGTACTCACTTGATCTATCTATCTATCTATCTATCTAATCTGTAGGTGTATTCATTTCATGTTGGTGAGATGAGTGCCACCGTGGCACAGTGCCCGCGCTCTTGTCCTTACAGCTGACACCCATGGGAGAAAAGGGAGTCGGAGCTGAAACCTGACAGTGGTTGGGCCTCACCGGAAGCCTCACCTCTGGTTTCCTCTTGCAACAGGTGGTGAAGCCAAGTGACGCACACGAGTAAGAGAAAGGGAAGCTGGGGAAGTATGGATTTCAACATGCCAGAGCAGCAGGATGCATTATTATCATTATTATGCAGCCGTGTCTGTTATCACAACAAGTGTGATTACTCTCATTATTGATGGCCGCTTTTATTTACACTTTAGCAACAAAATCCCAACATTTTAGTCGTTTTAGTCTCAACATTGCCTTTTAGCCATATAATTGGCATATTGCTATAATCCCATGTTATTGTGTGATGGTGGAAAATCATCATTTCTGTTTCTCAACCTCCTGCTACTCTCTTGAAACACGTAACTGTTGTTAATGCAATTCGTGATTTTCTACATGGGAAATCATCAAAACTCAAAAATGCAGATTCTGTCATTTTACTCTGTATTCATATTGTATCTGTTACACTAAAAAGAGAATAATTGTAAAGAGAATACCATTGTGTCTTGTATCAGCTTTAACTGAGACTATATATATTTCCTGTTCGACAGACATTATTACAGACAATACGCCATTACAAAAAGTGCTCACATTAAGGGCAGTGTATATTGTCTGAATAATGAATTGTAAATGCATATTTGATGCTTTCACAGTGATAAAGTGCCATCACTCCACACAGCCAGCTGGTAATAAGGACCTTTCAAACTGTAAGTTAGAATGTTTTGATGGAACGTGCACTCGCTCTATACTCAACTGAATCCAGCTACCTTTTTATGCCACTCATTCTTAATACAATATAAGAAACACCACTAATGCAAATCGGGATGTGGTTGAGTTCTTATACTAGTCCCAGTGCCACCTGCATGAAAAGAGCGAATCCTTTAAATATAAAACGTGTGGCTGCGAGTGTGTGTGAGTGTGTGTGTGTGTATGAGTGTGCTGATATTTGACAGTCTTGGACATGTTCCTACACTGGCTGTGAGTGGCCTGAGGGAAGCAGGCCTACGAGAGAATGAGCCAGACAGTTGGCAAAGCCTCTGCTTCCGTCTCAGCTGTCATTGGTAGTCTGGCCATGTGGCTGAGACACTGCGCCCTGTGTCCAAACACTGGGAAAAAAGAAAGAAAAAAAGAAAAGAACCTTGAATCTCATGTTCTAATCCTGTTTGTTGGATTAAAATGAGGCATTTTAATATGTGTTTTAAGCCATTCATGTGTCACTCCCCTCATTTTCTCTTGTTTTTTTCCCCTTGCAGCCGCTGGGAATGCTGGGAATGATTTCTGTGCTGAGAGTGTAGTGTTTGATGTGTCGCCCCCATCTGGACATCATGCTAACTGCACCACTCCATTCACAGAACAGGCAGAGGATGCTGCTCAGGTGGGGCCTGTTTCACTGTGTTCCCTCATTTTAATACACATTTCCTCGCAGCCTGGCACGTTATCACAGTCACTGATCAGTGGCTTTGGCCTGTCTGTGTCACACACACCTGTTGTCCTGCTGCAGGTGCCTGCCAGCAGCAGCACTCATGCTACACTAATGTTGATGCACATCTGACATTAGTCAGGAATATCCTATTTACTTCTCTTTTGCAGAGAAAAATGGAAAATCTCATGATGTGGAAGTGTTTATTTTAGTTTTTCTTTTCCTTTTTTTAAACATTTCTGATGCACATTTATGTTGAATTTAAACGTTTCTGTGATCAGTCATACAAATGTTTGAATCCCTCTGTGTTTCTTTTCCAAATGTGATGAACTCACTTAGAACCCTGTACAATAATGAAGTGTTATACAGTGATACAGGGATGGAAAAATAAGGGACACGCTGGGTGTAAGTCATTCTCAACAGTCTATTCATCCATTTTGTCTCAGTACAAGACGGTCGGGGGAAAACGGGCCTGCAGTCTGTCATTGTGAGACAGGAGGTATAAATATGTAGAGGTGCAATAAAAAATACTGTCAGTAATGAAAGTACTCGGATCGTTTCCTCTGATAAAAGTGGAAATACTGTAATAAAGTGTAGAATTACTCTGTTACTTTGTATTAGCATCTAAATATTCTTAAAGGTTCTATATTAGATTTGATTAGATGAACTTTATTGATCCCAGTTGGGAAATTGTTGAAGGAAGTATATGTAAGTTTCTATGACACCATATGTGGTGTCTTACAGGTTGTGGTTTCTGTCATTGTTGCCTTCTCGAGATAAGAGTTTATAATACGCCCTCTAACAGAGCTACGTCTTTACGGCAAACTGGATGCTGCAGTGACTCATTGTCAGAAAGCCTGAACAGGGCTAGCTTGTTAGCATGGTTAAAAAAAGAAGGGATGGAAATAGAAAAAAAAAAGAAAAAAAGAAAGAGAGAAAAAAAAACTGATGAAGTTTAATGCTGAACTACATTTAAAAGTAAACATCTGTTGATGCTAGCATTGGCTATGTAGAGATAGAAGGGGCTATATGTTAATTGTTGCTAAGTATCAACACTGGTTATGCAGTATTATCCTTTTTAGAATAATGTAATTTAATACTCTTTTAAAACTTTTAAAGTACTTTACAGGTTGTGAATCAATAAAGTCTTATTTTAACCTATAACAATACACCATATTTTATTTGTTGATTATATTTTGTGTCGTTACAGTGAATCAGCAAATATACATAGGCACGTTGAATTATATAGCAACAGTAAATGGAAATACTGGAATTATAAGTACCTCGGAATTGCTCTTTAACACACTGCAAGATTAAATATAGCTGGTGTTACTCTGTATTCACCCAGGGAAAGAGTAAAATCAACAGAGCTCATACTTCAACTCTGTCCAACTTGTTTGTGTCAGTCAGCCTTGGGTGGTTATGCCTTCTGTACACATGAATATTTCAAAATTAAGCATCAACATGAA